GAAGGCTTTAGCGCAGCCAACGCTCTAACCACCTGAGCTACGAGGCCCCACCGGACGACGCGAGTTTAATCACATTTGGGTCAAGTTACCCGCCCAACCTACTGCAACGTCTGGAATCCACCAAATCTGATACAGTAAGTTGACTGCCCAAGCAGGTCAATATGAATTATTAAAAATCTGCCAAAACATCAATGAATTACGCGAGCCTGGTAGTCATCTGGTGGATTCTAGGTGAATTACTTAGGAAATCCTGCTTGGGCAGTCAACTTACTGTATCAGATTTGGTGGATTCCAGACGTTGCAGTAAGTTGGGCGGGTAACTTGACCAAAATGTGATTAAATTCGCGTCGTCTGGTGGGGCCTCGTAGCTCAGGTGGTTAGAGCGTTGGCTGCGCTAAAGCCTTCCCGTTACTGCGTGGGTTCGAATCCCACCGAGGCGTCGAGTTTTTCACAGTTGAGTCAATATGGATATATTTCAGTCATTTTTTGTTTATATAAATGTTCGCTGATAGCATAATGCACACGAACATGAGATTTCGATCTGTGAATTTCAGTAGCTTAGGCAATTACCCGGATATCAAGAAAGGTCGGATTTCACTCAAATCTGGCTTGTTTTCCTTTCGCAAAACAGAGTTGAAATGGGCCTTTCCTTAGTAAATAGCTTTCGGTACCTCAAATCAATTCAGAGAACGCCAACAACATGACCAAGTACATGGCGTACTGCAATTCAATCACGACATCTATTTCAAGTCAGCGAATGGTCATGTCGCGCTAACAGTAATTAAAATTCCAAAGCCACACCTCCCTCGTTGGCAGCGGCTGAAGTTACACGCTAAAGTCCACGCGCAAGTCTAGTAACAATACCGGCACATACACCATCACTCACCACCTGCTTTCGCAAAAAGGAATTTCAAAAAAACAAGTCTCAGAGTTAATTTCTCACAGACCTGGAAACTTTCGTCACACACTATCATACCGGTGCATTGTGCTGCCCTGCATAGATCGAGAGTGTGTGATTCGGCCGATATTGTCAGAAGTCGTCAAACCTGAGATGCGATTTCGTCGCGCGGCATGACTGTATATGCGGATGCAAATGCAACACATCTTTTAATAAATCAGAACGGGTCTGAATACTTTGTGAAAGGAAATCTAATTCCCAATTAACGACAATTTCTTTCCTCAATTTTAAAATACTATTTTCTCCGTGGATGCTTATCTTCGTACATTTTCTTCAGAAAGTCTCTACTCCAGACAGCCCTTCGTGTACCGTATAAGCCCTGTGCATGCATCTTAATGAGATTTTCCACAGTTTGGAGGAAAGACTTCCAAAATTGTGTAGAGGTTTGGCCTGATGGATGTCGACTCCGGAGTCATGAAGCCACCCGACAGTTCAACCGTTGCTAATAGAAGCGAGCAGGAGGGTTCCAGGAAGCAGTTCAGAAGACGGCGATGCGATCAATGGAACGAGAAATTTATTGGCCAGACGTTTCGGATTCTCACTCGAACCCATCGTCAGAGACAGTCGTAGGTAAGGGTATTAGTGGCACAAGGAGTGCAGTATTTATAGCAAGTGGCTGCCGTGGGACCATATGCGTACTGCATTTAACAGCTTTCGCAGTCACCGCTGGGGTCGTAATTGATGCGATGTTAGTCCGCGCCCGAGTCGTTAATGGCCGTGATTTAGTCATCCGTATTGGATGCTGGTGCGACGATTTTTCGGCAAATTAGCTCACTGTCACTGGGATAATTGTTCGCCCTCGCGGAAAGGCCCACTGCCGCGGCAGAAAACCTCAGCAGTCGTTTACCGGATCTGGTTCAGTTGCGGACAAAGCGACTACGTCGGAGAAACTGGGAGATTTCTGCCGGTGCGCATTGTCGAGCACACAGCACCAGTGAGGCGGCGAGCAGCTCACGAATCACGCGGTTGTCACCCGTTGCGAGGATTTCGGTCTCTTGAAAGTTGAAAATATAGCCTGGCCACGTCGAATGAGTCGCCACCTGAGAGCTAGCGTCTCCCCTCCTCACTGGTGCTGTGTGCTCGACAATTCGCGCCGGCAGAAATCTCCCAGTTTCTCCGACGTAGTCGCTTTGTCCGCAACTTAACCAGATGTGGTAAACGACTCCTGACGTTTCCTGCCGTGGCAGTGGGCCTTTCCACGCGGGCGAGCAATTATCCCAGTGACAGTGGACTAATTTGCCGAGCAATCGTCACATCAGCATCCAACACGGGTGACGAAATCACGACCATTAACGACTCGGGCGCGGACTGACAAGCCACCATCACATCAATTACGACCCCCGGCGGTGATTGTGAAAGTTGTTAATTACAGTGCGTACATGGTCCCACGGCAGCCAAGTGCTATAAATACTGCCCTTCTTGTGCCACCATTACCCCTTATCTGCGACTGTCTCTGATGCTGGGTTCGAGTGAGAATCCGAAAGTTCAACCGTTGTAACCGATGCTTCCCACAGCCTAGTGGACACAGGGACGGCGACTTAGGTGTAAATCAGATTATAATGGTCGTAGACTTCCGCTACACCTATCACACACTCTCCTTCCTCAGGTGCCCGGACGGAGTCAAGATACTCGGAGGCTCATTCGTCTCAGAGCTAAACGGTCCGCCTATGTTTGCCACAGAGACCTGATCCGAGCATAAAGGACCAGAATTTCACGCAACAAGAAAGGGTTACAGCTGGCATCCCAGCCGAGTAAGAGTTTCATAAAGGCCAAAATAAGGAGAAGGAG